ATGTTGGTAAATCCTTTGGTCTTTGATTTTTTTTTTTTTGTCTCTTTGGAACAGGGTCTACCTGTGGCCCCAGCTGGCCTAGAGCTTTCTGGGTGGACTAGGCTGGTCTTGAGCCTCCCAGGTGCTGGGATTGAGGATGTGTGTCACCATGCCTGGCTTTAGTCTTTGATTTCTTATCCCTACTTTTCCAACCTTAAATTTCGTTGTATATATATTTTTATGTAAATTGTTTCAAATCATTTTTGGAAAAAATGTGTTAAAAATTACCTCTCTTTGGAATAATAAAAATATTCTTAAAAAAAAAAACTGGACTCAGATGTAGTGGTTTGTGTCTGTAATCCCAGCACTCCTCTGATAAAACACAAGATGGAGATGGGAATGTCCTTGGGAGCTCATGAAGCTGGCTAGCTGCAGTGACTTGAGAGACTCTGCCTCATCACTGGCCTTATCCAGCACTGGACACTGCATCTACAATACTGACCTGCTAGGTAAGACGTACTCACTGGTGCAGTGATGGCAAAACTGTTCACGGGGTAATCAGCAGCTCTGTTAATTGGATTTGAGGCTTGTTCTATAGGAGGGAATTTATGCCTTTTCACTGTAAACATGGTCAAAACCCATGGCTAGGATAGTCAGGCCCTAGGGGGGGCCTAATGAGGTTTTACTAAATGATAATGTTGTCAAACTGCTTTTTAAATAATTATGCTTATATTCATAAATTTGTGCTGCTCCCAACCTTGATCAGAACTTATTGCAGTGGGTAGAGGTTAATGTAGAGGCATTGCTGTTCAAAGTACTGAGAATAAGCAACTGAGTGCTTATGGGACATCTGTATCACACACACCCCACCCCTCAGGACTCAGGGAACATTGCGGAAGAGGGGACAGAAAGGGTGTAAAAACTGGAGGATGGGAAGGAGAGTGTGAAATGTCTTTCAGACATGACATGGCTGTTTCACACATGAGCTCACGGAAGCTGTGGTTGCCTGCACAACACCTGACAAGATCAAGCCGGTTAAAAATTCCAGTTTGGAAAGAGGAGGGGCTTCCGAATCCTCATCCCTAGCTGAGGAGCTATTGGCAGTTGATGGCTGCTGGAGGAAGGAGAGTCTCCATGTACCATTGTATGACCCCTGCACCTATGGGCATATGGGTTCCCATGTACCACTGTATGACCCCTACACCTGTGGGCATATGGGGTAAAAAATAAATACGTACTATGATTCTTACAGCTTGAATTTAAAGTGTACCCATAGATTTTTGGCTTTTTTTGTTTGTTTTTAAGATAGGGTTTTCCTGTAGCCCAATTGGCCTTGAACTCAATGCAGACCAGGCTGCCCTTGATCTCACAGAGATCCACTGCCTCTGCCTCCTGAGTGCTAGAATTAAATGTGTGTGCCACCAGGCTCGAGATGGCTCAGAAGATAAAGGCATCTTCTGCCAAACATGATGACTTGCTTGGTTGAAGGAGAGAATCAACTCCCACAAGTTATCTTCTGACCTACACGATCACATCATGACAGATGTGTGCCAACAGGCACACACACACACACAAACACACACTAAATAAAAATATAATAAAAATTTAAAATCATTCCATATATACTGAAGAATACTGTGCCCTCGGTGTTGTTCTATGTATTTTACATAAATCTAGTTCGCCATTTGGATTAAAATTTCTGCATCTTTATTGTTGTGCCTTTTAAATGTGTCATTTGAGAGAAATATGTTAACCCCACCCCCTTGATGATGATAAACTTGGCATTTCCATTTATGCTAATAGATGTGGTTATAAAGTTTAAAGGGTATTATTAACTGCATATAAACTTAAAATTATTATATCTCCTTTTAACTCTCTTCACTTTCAGCAATCCTTTAAAGTATTTTTTTCTAGTACTTATAAAGTCACAAGTTTTGCTTCATGCTTATCTGATTTTTTCTCTCCTTTCTCCATTTTTCTGTGTACTTATCTTTTAAATGTCTCTTTAGTTTGTGACTAGACTTTTCTTTGTATCCTTCATCAAGTCTAACTATCTTTGACTATTAACTTTTAGTAGGCCAGCGATTTTTGTTAAAATCATGATGTACTTGTTTTCTAATCATGCTTCGAGGTGTTTTTCCTTCTGCTGCTTTTGTTACCTTTCCCTCTGTCAGATTAAAATTTCTGATCTTTTATATTTTTGTTATTAATAATATATAATAATGCAAATATTTAAGTTATCAAGTCCTAAATTCATCAATATTTCTATCCTTTTCAGCATAAGGACTTTAAAACATTAAATCCTCTTTCCTTTTAATTTTCAATATTATTATTAGTAGAAGTAGTACTGTGTGTGTGTGTGTGTGTGTGTGTGTGTGTGTGTGCATGTGCTTGTGGAGGTCAGAGGACAAATTTGTGAGTTGGTTCTCTCCTTCTACCTTTATATGTGTTCTGGGAATTGAACACATTTACCAAATGAACCATCTAGCAGTTCTCTCTCCTCTCTCTCTCTCTCTCTCTCTCTCTCTCTCATTTTCTCTCTCTCATTCTCTCTCTCATTCTCTCTCTCTCTCTTTCTCTCTCTCATTTGTTTTCTTTTCTAATAGCTCAGGCTACCTTGAACTCTATCTTCCTGCCTCAGCTTCTGGATGCCTGGGTTAAGGGCTTGTGCCATTGTGCCTGACTTAGGCCAATTTAAAAATATTTGTTTACTGATTAAATGTATTTTTGTTTCATATTTGTTTTCATCTATATAATTTATGCATAAACATGAATTCAAGAAAAAAAATTATTATTATATAACTCACTTGAGAACTTTCTGATTTATTACTGTTTTATTACTGAGATTTTCTTCTTTGTGTTTGTTTTGTTTGAGACAGGGTCTCCTTGTAGCCACAGCTGACCTGGGACTTGCTATGTAGACCAGGTTGGCCTTGATCTAAGAGAGATCCACCTGCCTCTGCCTCCTGAAGTACTGGGCTTGAAAGCATGTGCTGCCATGCCTGGATATAGGAATTTTCTTTAAAGAAGATTTTAATCATTAATTTATACCATTTCAATACTCCAGAAAGAATAACGGGAGCCTGGCAGCAATATCCTACACGGAGAGTAAAAAGGAAGGTAAATTTATTTCAAGATTAACCTTCCAGCAAGTAATGTAACAGAATTTATGACTTGGAACTTTGTAGGATTCTTATGTTTTTGTGTATGAATTTATTCAAAGGATTCAAACTAGCAAGACCCTCTTGAACATATTAGATAGTCTTACTTATCAATGTGAATGCTTTGTGATATATTAGTATAGTTGCCCATCCATTCTTAGTTGCCCATAGATGGCCCAAGTACAGATACTTTAAAACAAAGACAAAACTTGACCATCTATTCTTGAGAAAGAAACACAAATTTTAAAATGAAATGATTCCTAAAAGAGAAAATAAGTTGGGACTCCAAATAGTCCTCCAGTTTAACTCCCTTGATTTATAACCAAGGAAACTGAAATTCTGTTAAAAAATGCTTTTCTAAAGAAGTTATAGAATGTTTGTTGGACCAGAAAGAATAGTCTAACTATTCAGCTATTATCCCTGTGTTTTGAACAGCCGAATCGAAAGACAAGCCAGTGCCATGCATTATTAACCACGAATCCCTCAGTTGCAAGCTTTGTGTCAGAAATGTCAATGGAATGAATAGTTGGATGACTTTTCTCAGTTGTTACTGCAGTGTGGCTGCAGGCCCTATTCAGAAACCAATGAAGTCTTTCTACTGATCAGAGAGGAGACCTCTGTAAACGCAGTGCTTGTGACATACCAATAAGCTGCCTTACATCAGTAAGAGGATTCTGCTGAGAGACAAAAGGATGTAATCATCTCAGTGTTCCTAATGTATTCTTGAAAGCATTCCCTCCATCAGTCGTCCTTTTTACAAGGCAGCGCTGCCCAGCTGAAGCCACCACCTAGCTGCTGCAAGCTCCTCCCATTCAAGCCACTTCCTGGAAGTCCTGGCCCTGACCGGAGTTTAGGATGATGTCTGACCCTTCTAGCCAATTCCTATTCATTGCGCTCTTACTCACTCCGCGGCCAAAGTGGAGCGTCTTCCTTTTCAACTTACATTCATATTTTGCTGACACCTAAATGTTGGGCCACCTCCAGCACTTGAAATTACTGTTTTCACCCAAAATAATACTTTCTCTTATTTCTAAAGCTGTGTGCCTACCGTAGGAGACATTATGACCTATGCTTTGTTCCTCTACAATGTCCTTTCTGTCTTCTTTAGAGATGGTGTGCCTTCTTCCACAGCCCCTGGCCAGCAACTTCCTAGAAGGCAGATTGTCAACCCCACTGCAGGCACGGCTGCCTTTTAAGTGGTTCATCTTAGCTGATACAGTCTGATTCAGTAAAATGTGTTGAACAGGGAAAGCACATGAGGCTCAATGCTAAGTTCTAATTCTATCAACTGTCCAGTTGTTAGTCTAGCAAATGCAAGCCTAAACATTAGTTCTTAGGACTAAATGCTTCATAGGGAGGAAGGCTTTCTTCTGGAGCTGGGAGGGCTTCTTCTAGGGGCACCAAGGACACTGGGTTTGGAATTGGGACTCAGATGACTATACTCTCTCTGATGAGATGTGTACTCTGGGTAAGTTATATATATGTGAGCTTCCATTTCAGACACAAAATGAAGGTATTTGGACTAGATGCTCAAACGATATCTTTCTAGCTCTGACATTATGCTTTTGCAGACAGAAATGATAATCTATTGACATTGTTGGGTCACTCTCATCTCTGAAATTCTCAGAGTGCCCACTTTAAATTGATACGATGAGAATCTTATAAATAAATAACATCTTGAACATCATTAAGAGGGAGTAATTTTCACAGTGCCCTACAGTCTATAAGAACAAGTTTAATGGCTGCCTTATACTCCTTTAAAATATTTTAGTAAGCATTGGTTTAAAAAAATGCAAGAGAAGAATGTGACACCTCAGCAAATGCTTGAAGGTAAACCAAACATCACTATAAATACTGCACTTATAAAATCTCTTTTTTATATATTCACGCAACTCGATTCTAAAATATCTTTTACAGAGATGTATAAATAAATGTCCAAGCTGCTGGTGCTTGGTACTGTGTGCTATCATGGCAGTGGGTAGGAAGGTTTGCAGGTATTTATTTACTCCTTGTGGGCAGGGTCAGCACTCCCATCAAGAGTGTCCGAGGGTTCACACCCGGCTGCATCGTGCGAAGAGTAAATGGATCCAATCTCTCAGAATGCTCAATAGTCAACTGTATGATTTTTCTTTCTACTTAGGGAAAAAAAGATCTTTCGAAGGCAACGACAGAATGCAGCTTAAATGGACAGTTCAGTGTTAACATTGCTTGTTCTTTAAGGCATTCAGGAGCTTTTGATTCTTGCTCTTGAACATCTTGACAAAGTTGTTTGGCATGATTTTGCCTCTCCCATCTTCACCCACTTGGCCCATAATAATGTAATTTAGACCTAAAGAAAGAAAATACATAAAAATTTCTTTATGGGCATAAAGAAACAACTTAGACTGTAACTTCCTTCTGGATAATAGCTTTTTGTTTTTATTTTAACTTATTTTTGTTTTGAGACAGGGTCTGGTGTAACCCAGCCAGGACCTGGAACTTCTGAGCCGCCTGCCTCCACCTCCAGAATGCTAGGGTTACAGATGTGAGTCACCACGCCTAGTGTATGCAGTACTGGGGACTGAAACCAGGGCTTCGTTCATGCTCAGCAAGTGCTCTACCAACTGAGCTGCATCCCCAGTTCCTTTCTAGAACAATATGTCATACACTTACCCCATGTAGGATAAAACCTGATTTCAGATTGTCATTACCAAATATTTAATTCAATTAGTAGTGTAGCCTAGCTCTGTTAGAACAGGGCATGGGTAGGGAGTGGTTGGATCCAGTCACTCTGCAAATCCTTCCACTCTGCGGACCGCTGTGTTCTGTATACGTGGTTCTCTAACGCCCACTGTGAGAAAGATGCATTCAAAGGCTCTCCTTTCCTGCTTCCTCTAGGAGCCTCCAGTGCTTCACAATGAGCCTTCTTCAGATGCCCCCCAGTCCTGTAATGCATCTGCAGTTCCCTGACATTTGCAGCTACTGACCCATTCCCTCTGTTGTCCTCAACTTTCATCAGCATCTCAAGCATTTATAGATGTAAGGAGTCTTTTGTTCTGGTTGTTTGCTTGGTTTTTTGTTTGTCTGTTTTGTTTTGAGACCGATCATGTCTCCCTATATAGTCCTGGCTGGCCTGGAACTCACTCTGTAGACCAGGCTGGCCTCCATAATATATATTAATATATATTAATAGAGCTGCCACCACACCCAGCTCTATGAAGAGGCAGGAGGACCAGAAGTTCCAGCCAGGTCTTCCTTGACTACATAGTGGGTTCCATAACAGTAAGTTTTTGAGGGCCTCCGTAGTTCATGTTCTCCTTGTACTCATACAGTGCCTTGGAATAATAAGTTTCAAAGCTACTTGTATTTTTTATACTATTTTCTTAGCCCACCGATGTGTCTGGCTATGAGTTAGGTCTAGACTGGGGGCCAAATGTTTTTTTGTAAGGGCAAAAGTTCTGTAGAATTGTACAGGTTATGATGTGAATGTGAAATGTTTCTGCATGGCTTCACATGTTTAAACATGCGATGCTGTTAAGGGAGGTTGTGGAACCTTAAGGAGGTTAGGGTCTAGCTGGAGTAAGCAGGTTGCTGAAGACTGAACACTGAAGGTTATGACCAGTCATAGGTTTTGGTCTCAACTCTGCTTCCTGATCCACCAAGATGTGAGTAAACTGTCTCACTCTGCTACAGAGCTGCCAACCACCAGGCCTTTCCCACCAGGATGGCCTGTATCCCCTTATGCTGTAAGTCCTTCCTTCCTTAATTTGCTTCTTATCAGGTATTTGGTCACAATGATGAGAAAAATAACACATTTTAATCCATTTATCTGTGTGCATCCATGCCTTATATGGATAGAACATTTTCTGTGACCTCAAACTCATGATCCTCTTGCTTCAGCATCCTTAATGCCAGGATTTCAGGCTTGTGCCACCACACCCAACTAGAAATGGCCTTGGGGGCCAGCAAGATGGCTCAGTGGGTAAAGGCACTTGCTGCCAAGCCTGAAAACCTAAATTCAAATCCCAGGACCCACATGGTAGAAGGAAAGAGCTAATTCATACAAGTTATCTTCTGCCCTCCACATACAGGCTATAGCACTCCTCCCTATTCCCAGATAAATAAATAAAATATAATAAAGCAATTTTTCAAAAAAAGAAATGATGGAGGGGCTGGGGAGAAGTCTCAGCGGTTAAGAATACTGGTTGCTCTTGCAGAGGACCTGGGTTTGATTTCCAGCATCCACATGGCAGCTAACAACTGTCTATAACAGGGATCTGATGTCCTCTTCTGACTTCCTTCAGCATTGCACGACATGGGTGCACTTACATAAATGGAGGCAACACACTCATACACGTAAAATAATAAAAATAAACTATTTTTTAAAAAGTAATGATGGGGCTGGAGAAGTGGCTCTGTGGTTAAGAGCACTGGCTGCTCTTCCAGAGGACCCAGGTTTGGTTCCTGGCACCTACACGGTGACTAGCAACTGTCCATAACTCCAGTTCCAAGGAATCTTACACCCTCTTCTGATCTCCATGGGCACTGCACACATGTGGCACATTTGCATGCATGCTGGCAAAACACTCATACATATAAACTAAAAATAAATTAAAATTTAAAAAAATATAAAAAAAAAACAAACGACCTTTTGGATTTGCTGAACGTGTTCTCTATTCTGATGCCTGAGAGTCTGGCTAAATGGTGTGCTTACTTTTAACAGGTATTTTTCATGACAGCCTTGAAGAATGGTTGTCTAAAAGCCTTCAAATTGGAAGTAACCTACTAGGGTTGAACAGAAGAACCACAGGAATCTCAGTGAGCACACACTGCTGATAGCTCTTCCTGAGACAGAGATGCTTTGAGAGCTATCTCCTCCCCAGAACAAAGCAAGGGCCACGGGAGTGCAGATGATTTCAGCGACATTAGAAAATATCTTTTTTTTAAAGCCCAGGCTGGCCTCAGACTTGATTAATCCTCCTGTTGAGAGTATGTGATAGGATTACAGGTGTGTACCAACACACTCGGTTGAAAATAAGTCTTAAAATTACATTTTATTTATTTATTGTGTGTTTTTTTATGTGTGTGGGTGCACATGTACCATGGCATGTATGTGGAGGTCAGAGAACAGCTTACATGAATCGGTATTCTCTTTCCACCACGTGAGTCCCAGGGATGGAACTCAGGTTGTCAGGCTTGGCAGCAGGTACCTTTACCTGCTGAGCCATCTTGCTGGCCATGAAAATAACTTTTTGACTACAGATAAAATTAAGCATCATACTGATGTGTTTTAGCAAATGCTTGACGCAGTTGTTCCGTTTTGCCTCATCCTTCCTGTGGTCTTGGCAGGTTGCAGAGCTGTGTGTACATGCTCAGCAGCAGTATGTGGTGTCTGCTGCAGCTTGACCGTCGTGTACAGTAGCAATAACTCGTACAGTAGCTGCGGCGGAGCATTCTGAGCTTAGGGCGCATACTCCTTTTGTTCCCAGAGCACTTTTACTGAACTCGTAATGTAAGCTACTCAATTTTATAGTAGGAAAGGTTCAGAGCGCCTAGTGTCACTCGAAGCCTATTTTGGACCAGCTGTACACTAGTTTCTGGTTCCTACTGCCATTTCTGTGCAAGGTTCAGATTGGCTAGAGGGTGCTTACGCCAGTGTTCTGCCCTTCCTATAATTTGTTTTAATAACTGTGTTAAATTTGAAGTTTAAATAAAAACATAAACTATTAAAAACTTTTTGTAAGTAAATTTTCATAGTACCTCTAGGGAAAGGAAAATGGTTTCAACTTTTATACCCCTCTTGACTTATTGAAATGTTAAAAACCGAAACACATACATTCCTTTTATAAGTTAAAGATCTTTTTTTAAGTCCTATGTTTCTGACACTGGAGTAATTTTCCTGTTTCCATAATTTCTCTTAATAAAATTATTCCTATCAATGCACAAACTATCTACTATCTCCACACACTGTTCCCAAGGCTTTATTTTGATCTCAGATAGACCTCTTTCTTCTGAAGTTCAGTTCCTCATTTCTTGTTGCGGGCTGGACATTTTCCTTTAAACATACTATTGGTAACTGGCGTTATAATCTTCTAGAACCTTTCTCTTGAGCTCATCTTCTGGTGTCTGCTCCCTTTTGATTAAAGCTCAGATGTTGCAGGAGTTACCAACTGTGCTTCTTCCACATGCTACAAGAGCTAGGATTCCAGCCCAAAGGTTTCCCACAGTCAAAGGCTTCTTCTCTGTCAGATGTGGGCCATGTTTCAGCCCTGATTTGACTTCCCAACACCAGCCACTGCCTGAAAGGCCCCTGACTTGCTCAGAGAGACTGCCAGGCTCCCTTCTCTGGCTCTGAGCGCCCTAGAAGAAAGACTACAGTTTCCTCCTTACCTCTTCTGAGAAGGGGGCACTGCTTGCAGACCACTGTGACCTTGACACTCATGTTCTTGCCAGCCTGCTGAATGGCCAGGTTTCCCTCTTTGTAGATGCTGATGATTGAGACTGTGGCATGCAGACTCCCACCTCGAGTGACAGTTGTGATAACCGTGCCGGCCAATACTGAAGAAGAAAACAGCTTTGAAATAATGTGACCATGAAGGCAAATCCGAGCAGAGATGAAAATTATATTCATTCTCTTACATTTCAGAAACAAAATGGACTACTGTTAAAGAGCTCTTGAAATTGATCCTGTATATTTGTCACTAAAATTCTGTTTTGAAAAAGATCATGGAGCTATAATACTACACTGGATGTTGGATGTTGGTTCCTAGGAGAGAAAGCTAACTGCTTGCCCAACTGCCATCTGTTTCTGAGGTGGAAATCCTTTAAAATATTCCATCCAACATGTGGGTTGACTGCCAATTAAAGGGTAGATTTTTGTGCCTCTGCTTATGAGTATTCAACAAGCTCTCGAATCTTCACTGACTCTGAGCCTGCATGACAGGGCTGAACCACGGGACTCTGGGGTCTGCAGGTGAGCGTCTTCCTTTTGCATCTGTCCCTCAATCCTCTCTATAGCTGTTTTGTATGAGTGTGTGTATGTACATATGTATGTGTGGTATGCATACATGTGTATGTGAAGGCCAGAGGTTTACGTTGGGTGTCTTATTCAATCACTTTCTACTTTAGCTACTGAGACAGGGCCTCTCACTGAACCCAGAGCTTGCTGGTTGTTTTTATGTGGGTTCTGGGCTCTGAATGCTTGCAAGGCAAGCACTATATTATCCACTGAGCCATCTCCCCACACTCTAGCTGACTCACTTCCTTGAACTTTTGTTCACCCATGGAGCTCATCTCTCTCTAGTGAGCAGTAAATCTCCATCTTTTCCTGTGTCTTTTGTGTTCTTTCTTTATCCACTCTATTTTCTTATTTAGAAAATCAAAGTATAGAATTGAGGTATAATTTAAAACATTTTCTTCCATTAAAAAAGATCTCTAGAGTCAGAGAGATGACTAAGTGGATAAAGGCTCCCGCTGCCAAACTTGAGGATCTGAGTTCAATCCCTGGAATTCACATGGTGGAAGGAGAGAACTGGCTTTCACAAGTTGTCCTTAGACCTCCATGACCCCGTTCATGTGTGCATGCATACACATGTGCGCACACATGAATACATACACATACACACATGCAAATATAATAAAAAATTTAGTCTCTATCAAAATTCAGTTGATTTTAATTCTATAACTCCTTTTTTCCATCATGACAAGCCTCTGTTCTGAGCCATGCAAGGAAAGATGTGACTGTCTTTCTCAAAGAATAGCTGCTTGGCACTGTCAGAGGCTGAGGGGACAATTCTGTGTTGCAGGAGTTACACCGATGACTTTTTAACCAGTCGTGATCTTGTACTAGCATTCCCCAGTTATCCGGACAACCAAAAACTGCCCCAGGGGACTGTTTCCTCCCCTCACTGAGGACTCACAGTCCCCTGGTGATAATATTTGGTCACTGTGCCATCTAAGTGAATCACAGTTAACAGGATAAATCAAGTTTGGATGCGGTGGAGGTAACCCCTTAGGACAGTGTGAGCCCTCACTGCTTATGGAGTGGGCCAAACTCAGGAAGTCAGAATTCTTAGCACGACTTGCTTTGATTCCTGGCAGTGCAGGTTCATTGCAAAATGTCAGCCTGTAGCCAAGGGAATACAGGAAGTCAGTTCTCCCATAGAAGACTAACCCAGATGAGGTGGCTTATGTGCCTGAGAAGTGCAGCATGAAAAGTGCAGCAGGATTTGTACCTTTCCTACAACGCAGTCTTCTGGGTTGCAGACAGTTACTACTCAAGGACACTAGAAAATAGCAGGATGTCTCTGAGGAGCTCTTTGTTTTGGATAAACGATTTGGGCAGTAGCAATTTTCTTTTCATGATAAGACGTCTTTAAATTTTTTTTTTTTTAAATTCAACACAAATTTGGCATCTTTTCTCTTAGCTTTTACAAGTAGTGCAATTAAAAAAAATTTTTTTATGTGTATGCGTGTATTGCTTGCATGTAGGTAAGTGCACCAGTGTTGTGCAATGCCCGCGGAGGTCAGAAGAAGCTATCGGGTCCCCTGGGACTGGAATTACAGTTGTTAGCTGCCATGTGGGTGCTGGGATTCAAACCCAGGTCTTCTGCAAGAACAACCAGTGTTCTTAACCGCTGAGCCATCTCTCAAGCCCCATAGTGCAATATTTTAATTGGAAAAATCTCTTAGAAGTTCTACCAGTGTTGTGCAATGCCCGCGGAGGTCAGAAGAAGCTATCGGGTCCCCTGGGACTGGAATTACAGTTGTTAGCTGCCATGTGGGTGCTGGGATTCAAACCCAGGTCTTCTGCAAGAACAACCAGTGTTCTTAACCGCTGAGCCATCTCTCCAGCCCCATAGTGCAATATTTTAATTGGAAAAATCTCTTAGAAGTTCTATGTGCTTTACATACCATCTCCTCAGGTTCCAGTTTATAAGAGTTCTCAAATAGACCAGATTTCCACATTTTACCTTAGCACTTTAGAAAGACATAATTGAGGAAATACTTGCATTTCTTTTGAGAGAAGTCAACTTTTGAATAGCTTAGCTATGTTTCTAAGCTATGTACTTAAGCTGAATCACAGATGTGTGGAAGAAATCCTTTACAGATGCAAAAAATACATAAAGAAAAACTATAATTTTTTTTTCAGGAGTAGTCAGCCAGAAAACACAGAGCAGCAGTATCATGTACCAAGGGTCAAATTATTAAACTGATGTGAAAAAGCACAATTTCTAAGTTATTTTTCACACCTGTGAAGTCTAACAATTTGAATAGCACAAGTCTGCAAAGTCTAGTATATAGGAAAATGTTTCTTTGGGTGAATGAGAGTGTTACTGACCCTTCACCAGTAAATTCACGGGAATGCCTTTGGGATTAAGCATGCAGTCTCGAGTTTCTCATTAGAGAGAAAAGGCTGGTTTTTCTTTCTTACCAAAGTTGCTTGAACAATAATTGCTCTCCAGAGTCCCCATCCGTCTACACTTTTGTTGACACAGGGCCACAGTGGGTTTTAAACCTTAATTAAAGAAGAGAGTCATGAGATTCAAGAAAACAAATGAAAGTATAATCGGTGTTTATATCAAATCTATACAGTTTCAAATTGCCATTTATTTCCCTGAGCCGTCGATCTTCCAGTGCACTGAAATGGTTATAAACCATGAAAAAGAAATTCTTCATGCTCCCGACTACTCTAATTTCCTCAGGGCAATCAATACTCTCTGCTGAATTTTAAACCTGAGATTAAAGATAATCCAAATGTAGCCCTGTTCTCATCTTCCTTTATATAAGCCTCACACTACAACAAAATCAATACACTGTGTGTTAGAAAAAAACTGGAAGGCAAATCCGAACTCATAAAGCACAGGTTAATGCTTCACTTAACAAGGTGAATCTACGGCCTTCTCATGAGGCCGAGAGGAGCTTTCTCGGTGCACTAAAAGCATGCAGTTGTCTAAATGTGAATAGTTAGGGCTTTCGAAATGCTGCTTGTATGTAAAGTATAAGGTTAGATGCATTAAGCATTTATTTTGAAACTTGGCACTGGGTATGAGGATCTAAAGAACTGACAAGTAGTTTCATCTATCAAGAGTCAAAAGTTAGGAGTAAAACTAAATCTAAAAACAACGGGTCTCAACTGGAGATAGCTTTGTTCTGTAGGTGACATATGGCAATGTTAGGAGACATTTTGGTTGTCAAAACTAGGGGGCACCAGTGGCACCTACTTCACAGCTTACATTGTGTATCGCAGCCCAAAGGGGGTCATGTGATTGAACACTGGACTCACAAAAAGTCTGTCTTCAGTAAAAGGTTTCTGAATGTACAATGACCAAAACCACCGATATCAAACCCATCATGAATCTGAGGTGTTTTGGGCAACTACATTGCAGCCTTGGCTGTGAACGCAACACTTGGCACTGTTTGTGACTCGAGATCACACAACACTAACAAACACTGCCTGAAACACCTTGACTCAGATTCGAGTATGTTGGGAACGGCAGTGTTTTTATTGTCTTTAGAGTTTTCTGCTCTTACAGAAACATAGTGGTTTAATTAAGGAAACAAAGACTTTTAATGTTTTCCTCCCATCATTCCTTACCACGTGAGTATCAGATTAGTATGCCTTTGGGTTGTATTGTGGTACAATGTTTGATTTTCAAAATTGTTACCTTGAGTTTCATAAATCGTTCAAGGAATTTTGGCTTAGGGTTAGATCAGAAATCCCAGGGTTTTCTGAAATGCCCCGAAACCCGTTTCTGTCTTTGTGCTATATTTATGGGAAGCGGTATTCTCAGCATTTATAATTATAAAAGTCAAAATTTGGATCAACTCTAAAAAATACTGAAGATGCTTTATATCTTTATGTGCTTTGTGTGCAATATCAATATTTAGCCAAGACTGAATTCTTTATGCAAAAATAAGCAAGTACATCGTGGGCATGCAACTTTGTTTGCAACTTTCATAAATAGTAAATTACATTATATCAAAGAATTATTTTAAAATAAGTTTCTTTATTATTTATTATTAGCAAAGGTTTGATCTTAGACAAGATTGAATTCTTTTTTAAAAATATTTTATTATTTTTATTTTATGTGTATGAGTGTATTGTCTGCATGTATGTGAGTGCACCTGTGTCCTGCAATGCCACGGAAGTCAGAAGAGGGCATCGGATTCCCCTGGAACTGGAGTTAAGGACGATTCATAGCTGCCATGTGGGTGCTGGGAATCGAACCCGGGTCCTCTGCAAGAGCAGTCAGTGCTCTTAAGCGCTGAGCCATCTCTCCAGCCCCAAGATTGAATTCTTTATGCAAAAATAAACAAGTACATCATTAGCATGCAAATTTGTTTTCAATTTTATTTATTATTATTAAAGGTTTGTATTTTATTCCTATCTTATAGGTCCACATACCCAGTGTCACACAAAAATTTCTCAGGCAAAGAGGTTTGTGAGAGAAAACAGCGGAAGAAGGCTGCTTTAGTGAGCACACGCCAGGATTCTGTTAACCATCTGCAGTGAGCAGATCAGGCCCCATGATTGTCATTAAATCATTATCTGGACCCACATATAAACAGTGCAAAGATGAGAAAGGCTGGGTTACACAAGGAAAATACATACTTCTTATTGGCATCTTCAAAGTGTTTAAAAATGAGACTGGAGAGAGCAGGTAAGAGCACTGGTCCTCTTGCAGAGGACCCAGGTTTGGTCCCAGCACCTACGTGGCAGCTAACAACCATCTGTAAATCCAGTCCTAGGGGATCCAACGCCCTCTTCTGACCTCCATGGGCACTGTATGACATGGGTGTACTTAGATACATGCAGACAATACATTCATAACATAAAATAAAAATAATAAATAAAATATTGAAAATTAAAGTGTTTAAGTTTCTAATTATTAATTTCTATGTGGTAAAGTGCTAGGAAGAGCAAGACCGAGCACTGTAACAGAACTGCCTTTGCTGTAACCATACACTCCCAGTATGCTCTGCAGGCTCCCCTGCAAAGTTATCACTTATTCTTGCAGCCCTATTTTACTCTAAAAAAATCAGAAGTGGATTGCAACATTAAAACATAATAATTTAATGTTAAAACAAAGAAAATAGTGTAAATATACATTTTCAAAAGAAAAAGAAGTCAGAAAAATTTTAGTATCATTGTTTTGGTACCTAGTAACTGAGTGAAAATCAGTGGCACTATGGATGAAGGAGAGCATCCTTCCATGTGGGCTGTGAGAGACCTGCTCCTGTCAGCCACAGAGCACGTGTCTGGGAGTTGGGTGGGTGTCCTACACTACTGCTGCAGTGGGTCTCTGTGCGCCAGTCTTTAAATCACAGGCTACTCTACCCTCCCCCTGATCTTACTGTCTTTGTCTCACTTCCTGCACTCACAAGCTTAGCTCCTGGTTCTCAGCCTTCCTCTGAACGGGCTCCTACACCATTGCCAAGAGCCCACCTTATTTATGTCCCACAGTCTCAACCTCGTCAGGGACTGCCCTCTGTTGCATCTCAGTCACTCAATTCCAGGCTCATACGTCCTCTTGCAAAACCATGTATTCCCCATCTCTCAAATGGCAAGTCGAGACACCCTAATACCCAGGATAGCCTCCTCCTTTCTAGGCTTATTTAAATCTCATGGCTACTGCCCTACCCCCGACATCGACAGTTCAGTGCCTTGACTGCTCTCATTTTCCCAACTTGGTTTTCACAGCCCATTATTTCAATGAGTTTCTTTGCAATTGTTTAAACTCCCATTTCCTCTCTGTCCTTCAACCCCCAGAAGCCCTCCAGGAGAATCCACTTTTTCAGGGCCTGCACCCAGTCAGCTGAGTTCACAGATGCACATCAGAAAGTAACAGGCTCTTTGATGATCAGCTATCACACTTCCACAGCCATTTTTCAAATTCTTCCTCATTCTCCTAGCCTCTAGTGTGGCCACTCCCTTTTCATCCTCATGTTCCAGAGGTAACAGAAGTCACAGCGGAAAATGTCTCTGAGATGACCCCTAAACCTCAAGGTCACCTTTATCTGCACCCTCTCTCTTCTTTTCCTCACCTTAGAGAGGAGACTGATCTCTCTGATCCGCATGCCTCTTGCAAATCCTCTGGAGCCAGACCTTCCACCTCTGTAGAAACCTTCCATCTCCATCTGTTCCTTCCATCCGCCACTGCATTTGGCTATGTTGTTAGAGGGCCACGTCAGTGTTCATATGCTCACCTCTTGGCGCCTTTTTTTCTCTTCTGGGGCTTGCGCTTCTGCAATGAGTTGCTGGAACCTCCTACCTCTATTTCTCCATGTTGCTCCATGCTCCCTCAGCCCACTCTGGCTCCTACATGCACAGCACTGCTTATGAAACTTCAGATCACAGAATCAAACAGAAACATTTTGGTCCTCCGTTATTTGAAGTCCCGTCGACCAGTGAATCGATGACCACCTCTTCTGCAGACATTGTCTTCCATGACCTGAGCTCCTGATTGTTCTCCCTCTTCTCTCTTCCTCCTCTACCAAAAGTTAGCATTTCTAAAGTTTTTGTTCAGTTTCTCTCCTCCTTGTGCCTGCAACCTCCCCAAGGCAGTCTCATCCTAGACTGAACTCTCATTCACCTGCACGACGACTCTTAAATCTCCCTCTCTGGCCTGGAGGCCCGTGTGTCTGCCTGCATGACCCTCTCCACTTGAATGTCTCATGGATATTTCAAGCTTTAGTTTGTGAATCCCACCCAGTATTCTCTGCTACAGTGAACAGCAACATTTTTCCCCAGGAAAGGACCTGGGGGCTGCCTGATATTCTTGACGCGCCCCTGGTCTTTCTAGTCCAGTTAACCACCAAGGCCTGTCACTGTCTGCCACTCAACTCTGGACTCTGTTTTTGTATCACAGCACAGTTCACCTAAACAAACAACAAGGTTCTTCTCTGTCTTGATTCCTACAACCCATTCTCTTTACAGGGCCAAAATTATCTTCATAGCCAATAAATCTCATCTTGAACTTCATTAAAACCCACCAGCAGCTTCCCTTACCCTTAGGGGAAAAAAATCAAAGTACTCAGAGCATATGGAGATGGGTGCCAGGGCCTGAAGATGAAGCTACAAGGTGAAAAGGGGATAGAGAGTGAAGCCCTTACACACTGCGGGAAGGAGTTTGGACTTCCTGGCTATCCAGTGATCACTAGCCATACTAGTTCCTATGTCATTAGCTGTGTTTCAAGGGCTTGCTAGTGGGGGCCATTTTGGGTCACACACCAACAAGATGATGAATTTAATAGAAGAGTGACACGGCCTGCTCTGGGGTGGAGGATGCAGTGGAAGGCAAAGGTGACTAAGAGACTGATTAGCCACGCTGCAGATGTGTTTGGGCCAACAAGCGGAAAAGAGATTTAAGGCAAAAAAAAGAAAAAAAAGAGTGATTAAAGCAAGCTAAGCATGATGTGATTTCATTTTAATGTCACCAAAGGTCTAGGAGCTCAATACCATCTATGCTTAAAATTTCCGAGAAAGTTTAGATGGGACCTAAAAACCAGAGAGTCACGAGCACATGGGTGTGGCTGGAAAGAAGGTTCACAGGCAAGAAGAAGGCCAGGCCCACTGAGCAGGACTGGAGACGCAGGACAAGAACACTGGCAGTGCACAGCCAGGCCACAAGGTGGCCAGCTCGTAGAGTGCTCAGAGCTTCCAGAAGTGTCTGTCTGTGTTTTGGACACCCTGTCTGAGGTGGATGAGGAAACAGTAGGCAAGAAGGCCCACACCACTATCTTCCAATTTGCTTCTCCTCCCCGATTGTGGGTTTTCAATCTGAGTCCTGAAATGCCAGGGGGTGGAGCAGGTGCAGGGACCCTCTGCCTTTCCAGTGCTTCGATCATGACCCACAACAGTTTCCAAAGAGCCTCTGTCATATATTTGAGAAGAAATGATATATTTTGTATGATATTTCCTGAGTAGCAAAAACAAAACAAAACCCTTAAACTGGCAGTTGTGAAAACCCAGCAGGTATCAAGGCCCTAGAACTTTAACCCAAAATACAATTTTATGTAATAAAATGAAAACTATAAGAAAATAGTTGAGAAGGGAGAAAGGCAATCTAGGATAGCAGTTATCAAATTACAGTTAAACAGGAGGACTATGCACTAGAATTCTACAGCCCTGGAGCACGACCATATAATAACTTTGTGTGTGTGTGTGTGTGTGTGTGTGTGTGTATGTGTGTGTGTGTGTCTTTTTTAGATAGGGTCTCCCTGTAGTCCCAACTGGCCTAGAACTCACTGTGTAGACCAGGCTGGCCTTGAACGCTCAGAGATCCTCCTGCCTCTGACTCCCAAGTGCTGGGATTAAAAGCATGTGCTACCATGCCCAGCTATATTATATATATTTAAAATAGTAAGTTTTAAATTTTTTTTATTATTATGAGGGAGGCACATATGTGGAGGTCAAGTGGACAATTCTGTGGATTTGGTTCTCTCCTTACTCCACTACATGGGGATCAAGCTCAAGTTGGCCAGGCTTGCATAGCAAATGCCTTTACCCACTGAGTCATCTTATCAGACCTATTTTATATATTTTATAAAGAACTAGAAGCAAATATTTAAGGAGACAAAATGCTCATTACTCCAGTTTGACCATTGTACACGGCACACATGCATCAGATATCACACAGCACACCACAAATATGTACTGATCATCATATGTTAAAAATTTAAAAAACAGTGAAGGGAAGAATTTTGTTAAATACAAATAAAGGAACATAAAAGGCTTATAAAGAGGGTGCTTATAATCAGCTTCCCAGTAATGGCTATACTTTCCTTAGCTGGGATTTGAAACTCTCAGCTCATAAGCATTCTTCCTTTCCTACCTTTCCTTTACTGGTCATTATATTACTTCTTACACAAGTTCTCATCTAGTTATTTCAGGTCCCAGTATATTCTTATTCTTTATACTTCAAAAGAATTCTTTTTACACTACTAAAGCTTTTGTACCAACTTCCAAACACAGGAACTTACCTGCAGTTACAGGAAACGTGGTGGTAACAGGCATTGCAGTAGTTGTAGGCAATTTCTTTGGCCTAAATTTGTAGTGACCAATAAATCCATCTGCAGTTAAACTTAAGTCTGATAAAAACTGAATAAGAAGTTCATTTGTCTCAGATACAATTGGCCTAAAAGAAGAAAAACATAATTAAAGTGTCACCTCCCTGAAAATGTAAAGTCTAGTTTCCCAGTAGACAATAGATTGGTTATTTGCTGAAAACCTAAAAGTTAAAATAGTTTAAAAGGTGGAACTCCTAATCTCTAAATGTCAATGCCAGTAACTAACTTCCACTGTGTTTACCAGCTGGGATTCTCCATCCCACCTTTACAAGAATCCTATTATCCTGTTTTTATGAAAAAGGCAACTGAACCTAGAATTCAGTGATCTGCCCAGGGCTCTGTAAGCCAGTACGTGGGAACCAGGACCTGAAACCAGGGCCCAGTAACCTAGAGACATGAAATAGCAGGACCAGCATAAACATGGATGCTGTAGCTGGTTTTCCAAGCACCTGAGGGTTTGTCTGCCTTAGGAATGGCACAGCAGCTCTGAACTAAGACTGGGTTCATGAAGCCTGGGGAGGCAGCTGCTGACCATACAGAATCCAAGAGGAAAATCTGGTGAACGCATTCTCATATACTGTGATAAAAACATCATGTAGGCTTAAAGGGAACACATTTCATTTTTAATGGGAGGTCTGAGGCCTGCCTTCGATGGGGGCATTTCTATCTATAACCCCATCAGGAAAATATTTTTTTTCTTTTACTTTTACAAAAACTGTATTGAGAATTTCATACATGCATATAAGGTGTTTTGATCAAATCTATACCCACTCTTTCCCTACAACTCCTCCCGTATCTCCCCATAACTTTTTTCTTCCTTCTTTCATTTATTTATTTTTATGGGGCTTTTGCTCCTCTAACATTCCACCCTCTGAAGAGGTAACCCTAAAAATCTTTTAAGGATTAGATACAAGCTCCCAATATTTCTGACATTTTTGGCCTTTGGAGCGGAGTATGTTGCTAAGAGGCCCAAGGACATTGTGAGTTTTAGCCAGGAAACTGGCTACTTTTCTTTGGGGTCTTTTTACCCTAACTGCCTAGCCAATTCCCAACTCCTATTCTTATCACACCATCCTCTGAAGGGGTTACCCAAATTGCCAATAGGGAATTGGGATGCAGACCACTCTGGTTTCTTCCATGCTGAACAGGGATGCAGGGTGAGGCAACTGGAGTAACTCTTCAGTGAGAAAAATGTTTTTAGAGAAAAGAGAAAGTGATTGCTGTGTTTGGTATTCAGAAACACTATTAAGAGCTCTAATATCAGGAGCTTGGTTCACCGGTACTACAGGGTTAGTGGCAATGCTAAGGCTCACACACCCTCCTACATCTTAGGGGACAATTATTTAAGATAGCAGTTTCATGTATCTTTGCTGAAAACAACTGAGAAAGTGCTGTTCAGTTAATTGCATTTGAAAGTTAATTAAAAAGTAGTCAGAATTAGACAATGAGCTGACTAAAATTTTCTGGAGCATCCCCCTAGTAGGCAACAGACAAGCCATGGACAGCGCATTTCTGTGCTGCTTGCTGTGAGCAGATCCATACTTCAACTGATCAGTTGGAAAAACTATGGTATCTTTTCTGTTTTGAGTAATAACTTTTTGAACCAAGGATGGAACAAATGGAAGCATGAATTTCCTGAGATCCATCTATATTTCCCATCTCTAATTTAATAATGTTTCTGAGATTCAAGCTTTAGTAGAACTATTTTAACTTATTTTTTGTAAGTTTGAAGTTGCTTGAAACAAAACATTTCCTAAACATAGTTTTCACCTACAATTATAAATCAAACATGCTAATCTTGTTTAAATGATAAAAATTATAAAAGGCACTTCTTTTTCAAATTTTAAAAATTATGTGTATATGTGCATGTGGCTGGAGACGTCCAGAGCTGGATTTACAGATGGCTGTGAACTGCTTACTGTGGTTGCTGGGAACTGAACTCAGGTCCTCTGGAAGACCAGTACCTGCTCTTAACCGTGTCTTCAGCCCAGAAAAGGAACTTTGAATAAGCAGGGAAGGAAATTCCAGTCAGGCCAGGCTTCTACCTGGGAGGTCATGAATTTGGTGACCATCCCCTGACTTCTACTAATCTGGGAGACATTAATTAGAATTGATTTTTTTTTTTTTTAAAGGAAGAGTACTTTTAGTAACAAAGAGATTTTTGTTGTGGTATTTTGCAGACTGGTGACGAAATCACAGTGCCATAATGCACCCAGAGCCAAGTACTGTGTCTGCAAGCTAATGTTACAAATAACTAAGAAGGCAAAATGGAATCTCACCCAGAAATGGACCAAGAAGCTGTCTTGGGAGCAACAGGACCAGCCACAGCTGGCTCTGGCTTGACTTCCACAGTATCCCCTTCACCCACTACTGCCAGCCAGCCACCACGACCTGCTGATTTTACCTCTTCAGATTTCTTTGCTTCCAGGCTCCAGCTCAAGGTTGAGACTTCAGAAACGTCTTTTATCTCCGTAAAAAAGGCAGTGCATCTCCGTTTTTATCTTTACTGTTAGACTCCCTCTGCAGAAAGGGACCACCCATTCCTCTTCCTCTGCTTAGCCCCAGCCTTCCTTCCTTCTCTCCCCCAAAAGCTTCACATGAGCGTGGTCTGCGCTGGACCAAAGGGGCCCCATTCAGGATAGTCCTTTGCCAGTTTCCGTATCAGCCTTGTTTTCTTCCCTCTCACTATCACTGTACCTTTTTTTTTTTTTTTAATCTTTGTACTCTGGCTAGCCAACAGGGCACCAGGACACAGCTGAGGTGTCATTAATGTCTCTGACCTCAATTCACTGGCTCCAATGCTACTCGGCCTGCCTTAAGTGCTTGAAGTGATCCAGCGGCCCACGCGGTTCTCCTGAGCCATGTTTCCAACAGGAGAAAAGTTTCCCAAACAGCTTTTCTCATTTCTGCACTGTCCTACCCTAGAAGCATTCTGCCTGTGGAAAAAAAAATCCTCCTCTGTATACAAATACTTGGTGCACTGACCATCTAACTATCTCACTCAAACTCATCAGAAACGTGGCTGGGCATAGTGACTGACAACTTTAATCACAGCACTGGGGCAGCTTGGGCAGGAGTGCGGAGAGTTTGAGGCCATCCTGGGCCACATACCCTGTCTCAAAAACAAGCAAGTATGCAAGCAAACAACCTCAGAAACGGATGTTCCACAATGGCCTCACTGCCTCCCGTGCCACTCTTATCAGTGCTTTCCTTTCCTTTCCTTTTTTATAGGCTTATCACACACAGATGCTGCACTAAACTGTACATTGTATAGGTCTGCATGTGTACTATAACACAGGTAACTATTCTCTTGTTGACCCGGTTACAAACAATACTGCTGAGAATATTCTTGATTAGCTCCTGGGCAAAGAGTCTTTAATCGGCCCAGCAGGAGGGTAGAATGTCATAAGATACAAGGTCATTTTCAACTTCATTAGACAGTGCCAAACTGACTTCCAAAATGGTTCTCCCAATTTACACCCTTTTTAAAGGGGGACTCATTGGATAGCTTTCTTCTTTTGGGATTGCTTTTCACATCCCTTTGCCTATTTTTTTTTTTTTTTCACCGAGTTGTCTTTTCTTGAATTTTAAAGTTTCTTTAGGCATATTCTGGAACCCAGGACTTTGTCAGATAAATGTTTAACTATACATTCCCAGTGTGCCATTTTTCTCTATCTTTTTAAAAAAATTTCATGTGTATGAGTGTATTGCCTGCATGTATGTGAGTGCACCTGTGTCGAGCAATCAGAAGAGGGCTTCCGATTCCCCTGGAACTGGAGTTAAGGGCGGTTCGTAGCTGCCATGTGGGTGCTGGGAATCGAACCTGGGTCCTCTGTAAGAGCAGTCAGTGCTTTTAACCGCTGAGCCATCTCTCCAGCCCTCTCTACCTTTAAGGTATATTTTGATGAACAGAAATTCTCTCTTCAAGCTTCTCTTTATCTTCTCATTCATCTGCTGTTGATCTTTGTGTGTTTTTGACATAGCTATAATTTCACTTTCCCATATGAATCAATGGACTCTGCCTCAGGTTTCACTGAGGTCCTCCTATCCCTGCTGGCCTGAGGGTCTCTGAAGTGTGCACTGTCTATAGATACATGTGGATAAACCCTGGCTCTCCTGGTTCCACTATTTCTTTCTCTGTTAAAACTGTGCGATCTTAGTTACAACAACTTTCTGATTTGGTTTCACTTGAGGTAAAGCAAATCCTCTTGCCCAGCTCTTTTCTTTCCAAACTCAGTATTGCCCCAATTATCTACTGCCTTGCCAGTCCATGTATGTTTTAGAATCCAGCTAAATGATGAGTCTTTATTCATGATCATTGTCTACAGCTCCATTTATTTAAAAATGTCTTCTAAGGTTTTATAGTTTTCTGTATTAAGGCCTAGCACATAATTTTTAAGATTTATTCTTTTTATTTTATGTGTATGAGTATGTTGCCTGCATGTGTGTAAGTGCACCTGTGTCATGCAATGCCTGGAGGTCAGAAGAGGACGTTGAATCCCCTGGAACTGTAGTTACTGACAGTTGTTAACTGCCATGTGGGTACTGGGAGTTGAGCCAGTGCTCTTAACTGCTCTTAACTGCTGAGCCATCTCTCCAGCCCCTAAAGAGTTATTCTTGCATATTTAATATTTTTGGAACTTAAAATTTTAATATAAAATTTTCTGTGGTCAGCAAGTTGTCCTCTGACCTCTGCATCTGTGCTGTGGTACATGTGTCTTCACACATACAAATAAATAAATAAATGTAATTAAAAATAAAATAAAATAAGCTCTTGAACAATCCTTGTTTTTGCTAGGAGCTGTGTATATTGAAATACCTGATCCTCAAATGTGTGTTAGAACTCCAGAGAAAAAAAAATATGTCGACTTTTTCCCCCTTGTATAGAAAAACTACCAAGCAAATATCCTTAATGGTAACTATGGTCTTTTCTTTTTCCTGCATCCATTTTTGGATGAGACTACATTTTCTCTAATTGTTGGGTACAGTGTTCTCTGTCCCTTAGACCAATGGTGCTAATCTGGGTGACAATGTGAGGGGCGGGGCAAGGCCACAGACAGTTCAGCACAGAGCTCAGATCAAATAAAACCATCTAGATTTGCCATAAATTTCCAGGTTTCCTATCCTGGACTTTTTAGCCCCTGGCTTGTTTACTCATTCTACCTGATGCTTGAGCTCACCTTAGCTGGGCTGTGGCATACACAGACTGTCAGCCCCGGGATGGTGCCAGCCCTGCTTCTGTTAGTCCTTGTGGTTGTCTGGGCCTCAGTGTTTGGACAGCTAGGCTTTGCTACTCGTGTTGGACAGGGCGCCACTGTCCTGGTACCCCAAAATTTGTCAACAACATAAAAATTTCCAGAAAATAATAGCAATTGGAAATTTTAATAGGGAGCAATTTAGAGTCATTAAAATATTAATGATGTGGGGCTGGAGAGATAGCTCAGTGGCAAAGAGCATTGACTGCTCTTGCAGAGGACCCAGGTTTGATTCCCAGCACCCACATGGCAGCTACGAACCATCCTTAACTCCAGTTCCAGGGGAATCTGAAGCCTTCTTCTGACCTCCGTGGCATTGTATGACATAGATGCACTCACATTCATGCAGGCAATACACTCATACACATAAAATAAAAATAATAAATAAAATAAAATATTAATGATGCAAATAGATGTTACTTACACTGGTGGACTATCACCACAGTACTTTCCAATTCTTTTAGCATCGTTGACTTCCCCGCCATTAAACACAGCCACATAGTCATACCGGCAGTAGTTATCACGTTCAACATCAAACTTCTCAAACTTTAACTCAATAAGCTTTGGAGAAAGCACAACATTAGAAGCATCAAATAGCATTCTGAATAATCTCAAGTGGAATGTTCCTATTTGCAGATTTGCAGGCAATTGATTTTTTCTTTGTATAAAAAGTATCAATTATGTCTACATATTTTTCTTGTGTTTCCTATTTTTCACTAACAAAACTGCAGTATTATCTTGTTTTCACTTTCAATAATTACAAAAGATTATCTAAAACCCAGATCGACCTTGATAATGATCTTCAACTTAAGAGAACTGTTCCTGACAGCTACAAAAGTATGGGGTGCTATATAACTGTAGCAATCTAAATTAGGACTGTATTTGATTTGGGAGATCTATTAGACCACAGGCAACTATAATAATAATTAATAATAAGAATGTATTTTGCCAATTGTTAAACGAGTAGCTCTTACATATCGATATGAACAAACACAAAAGTGTAAAATATGCTTTGTGATGGATACATTAATAAGCTTAATTATAATGACATTTCACAATGTATACCTTACCAAAGCATCCTCTGTATACTGTAAATACTTACAATTTTTATTTGTCAACTATATCTCAATAAATCTGGGAGAAAAGAGGAAAAATTGAGGAAAAACCAGAAAAAAGGAAAAAAGAAATTATAAACAGATAATTGGGTGTGTGGTAGGTGGTATAGGGACCTGTATACTATTTTCATTCTTCTCTGGAAGAAAATTACCTAAGCTGTTCCTCAAATTGCAGTATATCTGGGTGTGGTATATGTGCATAGTGTGTGGGGGTGGGAGATGAGCAGAGCTGATTTCCTTTTGAGAGGCAGAGACTAACATTCTTACCACATGTAAAGGAACCAGTGTTTTAGGATGTGCAGTTCAGGGAGGTAGGGGTTCATTAGAGCGTGTTTCTTAAGTATGTATGCAACACGTGCACTCCACAAAGTCAGGTGGGGATGTGATTGATTTTTTTTTTAAAGTGGTTGTGTAGAAGCACAGATACACAAATGTTAAGATTCTCAAAGTTTCTTAATTTACTTTTTTTCTGTAGTACCAAGAAGAGAGTCCTAAATTATTCAAGTGAATGGGACATTTTGATTTCATAGGCAATCAATCATCCCTTTACAAGCAGTTTTTTTTTTTTTTTTTGGTCTTTTTGAGACAGGGTCTCCCTGTAGCCCCAGCTGTCCTGGAACTCACTAGGTAGACCAGGCTGGCCTTGAACTCACAGAGATCCTCCAGCCTCTGCCTCGGGAGTGCTGGGATTAAAGGTGTGCGCCACTATGCCCGGTTTACAAGCAGTTTTTAAAAGAGCACTTCCAATGTGTGAATCAAAGGAACTCTCCCTGGGTCATTAACACCCATGGCCCTCAGCTGCTGTTCAATCTTGCTGGGAGGCAGGTGGCCTGAAACCCTGTTGCTAATTCAGGGAAGACAATGGAACATTGATTCCTCTTAGATGAGGTGTGGTAACTCCTAACAGCTCAGGATGACTCAAATAAAACAATCTGAACAAAGATGGTAGGAGCAAAGCACCACAGCGGATACTAAGGTCAATGTCAGCTTTGATTAGAGTTGCCAACCGTGTGCATTTCCTACCTTTAAAAACAGCATCTGTGATGGGAGAGTACTGTCTTGTGCATGTTTAAAATTGCTTTAAATTATAGCAAAATATTTACTTTTGGGACCCACTGACTTTTCATCAGCAACTAAAAAATACTACCCATTTAAAACTTAGCTGAAATTTCTCACCCTAAAAATCATTCATATAAACACTTTCGGAGAGAAGATTAAAAGAAAAAAGTAAATAACGGATAAAGGAGAAAGCTGTAGTAAAATATAGAGGCACTTCTTTCAAAAAATAGCCAATAAACTTTCACAGAAACCATTTAGGGTTTAATTTTCCTGTTTTTTTTCTTGTTTACACAGAACTGTCAATGATTCCAAATACTCCAATGATGATGAAAAATTCAGCTGACTATAATCAAACAATCCACATCAACACAACTAGACCATCAAATAACCAAGTGGAAGAACCAGGAAAGAAAGATGCTGAGTTATTGTCTGGAAGTTAATAAAACTGAGATTATTTGGTCAGCTATATTAACCAATGTCACAAACAAATGACCAAAACAATTTCAAGAATTACATAATGTTTAACTAGTTAAAAAATGTGGAGCTGGAATTATGGCTCAGTGGTTAAGAGCACTTGCTGCTCTCATAGAGGACCGGGATTTGGGCACTGCACACACATGGTGCACTTATATACATGAAGGGAAAACACTTGTACACATAAAATAAAATAAGTCTAAATTTTTAAATATTTCAAAATGTGTTTTTTTTTTTTTGTCTTTTTTTTAGACATGGTCTCCCTGTAGCCCCAGCTGGCCTGGAACTAACTGTGTGGACCAGGCTGATCTTGAACTCACCAAGATCCATCTGCCTCTGCCTCCCAAATGCTGGGATTAAAGGAGTGTGCCACCACACCTGGCCCCAAAATGTAATTTTAAAATGTAATCTATTCAGCAGACATTAAGTCTTCCATTATTTAATAAATGGCTGTGTATTTAGTCTTTAAGACTGAGTTTGGAGATTTTGATCAAAGTGCGAATGTGTGTATTTGTGTGTGTGTGTGTGTGTGTGTGTGTGTTCACATCAGTGACTTACATGGTCTATTTTCTGGATAATAACATTATTAAAATAAATATGTGGTAAGTAGTATTTGTGCAGATTTATGAAAATAAAAAACCAGCACCATAATGCCAACCTCACAGTGTTTGGACTAATATCAATAGTGTTTTTGACAATAATAATTTCATAAATTTATTTTGAAAATTTCATACAGCAAGATTCATCTATTCCTGTACTAAATTCTGTCTACAATAATACGTGAAAGTGGTTCCTGATAGGTAAAAATTTGGGGAGAATGAGCAAATGGAGGATGAGGCACCTAGACACAGATAAAACTCTCAGCAGGATAGAGCTTTATTTCGCACCGGACCATTCCCCTCAGGGAAGGGAAAATGTCTACCCATGGGTTGTGAGCTGGGACTTATATACAGGGCTTCAGGGTGCAAAAGGGCGGGGAGTTTTTTGGGAAAAATGGGGGGGGGCAGGAAAAGCAAGGCTTGTAAACCTGGCTCCGTTCTGTCTGCCAGCCAGGATCTGGGTCAGGAAGTGTTTACTCTTTTGTCCTCTTAAGATAAGGGAAAAGCTGCTGTGCTAAACAGCTCCTAAAATCTCTGGTTAACAGGCAGAATCTGCTTATCTTGTCTTTGGAGATCAGAGGAAAGGCAGGCTGCCTCTTAGAAGAGTCTGCTTCCCTTGACTTTAAAGGCCAAGGTGCTTATCAGCTCAGTTCCCTTTTTCAGGCTTGAAAAATTCAAAGTCCATGGGTCCCTGTTGGGGAGGTTGGGGAGGGGGGAGCTGCTGCTGTTTGAAACCCTAATAGTTCCCCAAAAGGGTGAAACTTCATATAGCCATAAATTAATAAATGCTGGAAAACTAGGTCTTCTCTGTTGACTCTTTTAACAAAAAAAGCTTTTTTTTTTTTTTTTTTTTTTTTTTTGGGGGGGGAACTTGCACAAATTTTGCTTCAAACAACCCCAAACACCCCAAACTAGCCAGTTATCACTGGAGATGGATGTTTAAAGGGTGCTGTGGCTGCTCCCTGGCTTTGCTGGAATGAGGCATATGGCCTCTTTTCACTCTGAACAAGGTGGATTTGCTAAGTAAGCCAACGGAATGCTGGAGTGGGCTTGGATTTGTCCTCATCCCCACACAGACAGGTACTCACCCTCAAGCCTCATCCCCACACAGCCAGCACTTGTGCCCCATGCTTTTAGCTTTTTAGCACCACAATCCTGCAGTCTTATGTGGAATTTGCTTACTATTTGTATTTTCAAAACCGTTTTAGAAGTTGTAATTACATAATAGAAAATCGAAGCCATGTCTTTGCAAGTCAAATGGTGTCAGGGCAGCTTTAACCTGGGTCTTATGTGAGCAAGAGCCCATGGCTAGGAGGGCCTTCCTCTCCTTAGCTCTCAAACCCCAGAGTCAGGCGTTCACACCATCTGGCTAATTCACTTTATCCATACTTTCTGGAGCCTTACCTGGTTCTTTGGGGCTACGATGTGCCACACACAAGTAACTCCTACAGGGTAATCTCGGTCTGGCCAGTTGGGGGTTTGAAAAGAGCCGGAAGGTCTTTCAAGGTGTCCTCCACAATACCGGTCTCCTGAAGTCATTAAATAAGAAAACACACACACACACACAACTTTATATCCTAACATAGGTTACAGCAATACAACCAGCTGGAGATTAGGACTGTGGATTACGTGACACACAGTAAATCAAGGCAATGACAGAGGCTCTTAGATTTTCTCTTTTAAAAAAATCATGTGATCTACTCTACTCATTGAATACTCTTTTTTTCTATTTCTGAGGATACCTCATGTAGTCCAGGCAGGCCTTGAACTCACTGTGTAGCTGAGTCTGCCCTTGCCTCCTAAGTGCTGTGATTACAGGTGTGTGTCACTTCTTGGTTCACTGAATATGCCTTACATTGCCTGACTTATCACACAAAACAAAGGAGTGGACTTAGAGGCACAGCTTTGTTTTTTGCATTTTTTGGACAGAACATTTACACGCATTCAGAAAGCTTGTAACCAACTCAGTGAATCATACAACCTCTAAGAATTCTTAAGGCATCGATTATTTATTAAATGCCCATGGACAAATTTAGTTGTTACAAATAGTTCTCATTACTAGAAAACATTATATGCTATATATGCATATACATAATATTGAATAAGTATTAAGAATCATTTTATTTATAAAAAATAATGTACGTTTATGGGTCTGAGGAAGATAGCTCAGTTGGTAACGTGCATATGAGAACCAGAGTTTGCTTCCTAGAACCCACATAAAAGAGCCAGGCCTGGTAGCTCCTTCTTGTAATCCCAGCACTTGGGGAGGTGGAGTCAGAAGGATTCCTGGGGCTGCCTGGGTGGCCAGTCTAGCCCAATTGGGGAACTCTAGATGCCGGTGTTGAGAGATTATCTCAAAAAACAAGCTGCACAGCTCCTGAGGAACAACACCTGAGGCTGACTTCGGCCTGCCATACACATGTACATGCTCATACATGTGCACATGAGCATGTACACCCCACAGTCCCAATACACCCCCCCAGAAGCATGTTTATAAACTTTCAGCAATAAAGAAAAGCATGGAAAGAAAGTAAAGTTACTCCAATCCCACCATCTAAAACCAACTATAGTTAACATTTAACAAACCTGAATTTCGACATCAGGTATATGTACTGATATGTAATGCATATGTTCTGATAGATGGGCAGAAATAATTTCAGGAAAGTAATTTAGTATGAAATTACAAATTTAACTTCATTTAGATTTAACTCACAAATCAGAGCTGAATTGAAAGCAAGAGCGTATACCTTAATGAAACATTTCTTTGACACAAATAAGTCTTAAATATCTAAGTTTAAGAAAACATGCAAACTGAGTTTAGAATTTCTAAAACCATGGGTAGAAAACGTCAACATAGATCTTCTGGGTACCTGTTACCATGTCAACAGATGTCCGGACTGTCTGTTTTCTGCAGATGTTACCCGATCTCCACCACCTGTTTCATTGTTTTATTATTTCAGCTTCACAGGTTTGGGGAGGTAAGTTCACAAAGTTTAACTTTACATGTTTGACAAATGGGTGGACAAATGGGTGTGACTCCTATGAGTACTTCAAATCCATCTCTCACAGAACTTCTGTCCTTTCCCAAGCTGCCAATGATTTACACCGCTTTTCTGAAACTCTATCACCTTAGTTTTATTGTAGCGTTCTACGTAAGCCGAATCTGGCTGAGGCACCCTTCTGGTCTGCCTTCTGTTGCTTACTGTGAAGGTGCATTCACACTGCTGTGTGCTGTGGTAGTTTGTACTTTATAATGCTGAGTAGTATTCCACCGTATGGACACACTACAATTTGTGTACCTATTCTCATGTTGATGTTCATTTGGGATTGTTTCTGGTTTAGGCGATTGTGAGTAAAGCTGTTATGATTATTGTCCACATCTCTTTTTTTGACATGCAGTTTCATTTTTCATTTCTCTTGCATTGATGCTTAAGAATGCAATTGCTGGGACAAAGTACATAAAGTAGATGTAGGTTTTCAACTTCATAAAAAACTACCCCCCCTGAGTTTATGACCATTTTTTACCTCTCAGGGTATGAGTATGCTGGTTACTTCCCATTCTTGATACCATATGGGGCTGGAAGAGTTTGGGCTGATCTGTGAGGAAGCAGTGGTGTCTCCCTGTGGTCTTAATTTCCATTCCTCATGACCAAGGGCATTTCTGGCCAACTGTGTCCTCCTTTGTGAAATGTCTGTACTCATTTTTGCATTTATTGAGAACTTTATCTTTCTATTGTTGAGTATTACATGGGTTTTTATGTATTGATTTATTAAGTCCTTTTGTTCTTCATTTTAAAATATTTTATTATTTATTATTTTGTAAGTGGACCCATGTTGTGCAGTGCCCATGGAAGTCAGAAGAGGGCGTCAGATCCTCTGGAACTGGAGTTATGGATGGTTGTTAGCTGTCAGGTGGGTGCTGGTCAGTGCTCTTTTAACTGCTGAGCCATCTCTCCAGCCCCATTCTGGATATAAATTTATTAACAGACACTTTGTGAACATTTCTTCTCATTGTGTGGATTACCTGTTCATATCTGTAACTGTCTTTTAATATATTATTTTGGTCTTAATGAAGTTACATGGCACATTTGTTTTCATCCTTTTACTTTCAATCTGTTTGGTCTTTGCATTTCAAGTGTTTTGGCTTTGTTTCATAGACAACATGTGGCTAAGTCTTACATTTAATACCTTCTGATCCTGACTTTCTTCTATTTGGGCATTTAATCTTCTCATCTAGTGCATTTATGGATCTTCTAGGATTTAGTGTGCCAGTTATTATGGCTTTTCAATTTGTTCTCATCTTCTTTCCATCACACATGTTCTTCCTTCCAGCTTTCTTTAAATGATAATTTTGGTGCTCTATTTTAATTTTCTGGCTTTTAGTTATGAACCTTTTACTTTTAATGGATGCTATAGGGATCATAAGATATATATTCAACTCATCATAACCTACAGAGCTCATACTGAACTTCTTTGTGATGTGCGTGTGTTTGTGTGTGTGTGCATGCACATAGCACTGTAGTCGCATTTAGCTAGCCATCCTTTGTTAAGCATAAAACATTATATATTTCATAAGCAGTACTCAGTTTTTATTCATGATCACACACAAAAGAAAATCAGAACATAATAATTATAACATTTAAAAAATATTTTATTTATTATTTTTTTATGTGTATGTGTGTATTGCCTGCATGTAGGTAAGTGCACCCGTGTTGTGCAATGCCCGTGGAGGACAGAAGAGGCTGTCGGATCCCCTGGAACTGGAGTTATGGACAGTTAGCTCTCATGTGGGTGCAAGGATTCAAACCCAGGTTCTCTGCAAGAACAGCCAGTGCTCTTAACCGCTGAGCCATCTCTCTCCAGCCCCAGAAGAACATATATGCAGTCTTTCATGTTTACTGTTCCCAGCATTCCCTCACTGCCTTCAGTCAGCCCATGGTGACATTTCCCTCAACGTGAGAAACTGCTTTCAACATTTCTTGTGATGCAAATAGAAAAATGTCTCTCAGATATTTATAGTGTTTGTTGTAAATGCTTTTCCTTTGCATTAACTTTTGGAGCTGACTGTAGAACCTGGCTTGACAGCTTCATCACAGTCCTCTAAGAGTGTAGACCACCCCCCGACCCCACCCCACTGCTTCTCCCCAACAGAAGCCATGGCTTGGTCCTCTGTCCTTCCATATGTGCTTCAATTCAAGATTTTTACCTTTGGAGCTTTGCAATTCAGTTATAATGTGACTAAGCACAGCTTCTTTTAAATTTGATTTTAATGTTATATGTATGAATGTTTTGCTTCTATGTATCCAAGTTCACCTGTCTGTTAATGTTCACAGGAGGTCAGAAGAGGGCATCGGATCCCCTGGAACTGGAGTTATGGACAGTTGTTAGCTGCCATGTGGATCCTGGGAATCCAACCTGGTTCCCCTACAAGAGCAGCTAGTGCTCTCAACTGAGGAGCCATCTCTCCAACCCCAAAGTGTCTTTCTATTTATTCTGCTTAGAGTTTATTGATTTTCTTTGCTATGTCAAATCATGTTCTTTGCTAAATGTAGATACAGTCAAGTTGTTGTTTTTTTACACTGTTTTTTTGTGCTGTTATCACTGTTAAAACCAGGTTACAAATACGCTGGCCCACTCAATGCTGTCTCACTGGTCTTTAGGTCGCCTTTTCTTCAATCTTCTCTCCACTGGTGGTTTCAGATTGGGTAATTTCTGTTCATGTGCACTGACTGTTTTCTGCAACCTCTAAGCTATTTTCTGGCCCATTGAGTAAATTATGTTATCAAATTCTGTATTTTCTAGCTCTAAAATCATTACCTCGTTCTTTTTTATATTTTCTGTTTCTCATGCTTATTTATTATACATATATTCCTTTTAAATTGTGGAACTTTTTTCCATCTAATACTGGGAATTGAATTCAGGACTTTGCATGTGATAAGCAAGCGCTCTGTCATTGGGTGCACAGTCTTCACCTCCAGTCCTCACCTCCAGTCTTCACCTCCAGTCTTCACCCCCAGCCTTCACCTCCAGTCTTCACCTCCAGTCTTCCCCTCCAGTCTTCACCTCCAGTCTTCACCCCCAGCCTTCACCTCCAGTCTTCACCTCCAGTCTTCCCCTCCAGTCTTCACCTCCAGTCTTCACCCCCAGCCTTCACCTCCAGTCTTCACCTCCAGTCTTCCCCTCCAGTCTTCACCTCCAGTCTTCACCCCCAGTCTTCACCTCCAGTCTTCTTCACCTCCAGTCTTCACCTCCAGTCTTCACCTCCAGTCTTCACCTCCAGTCTTCACCTCCAGTCTTCACCCCCAGTCTTCACCTCCAGTCTTCACCTCCAGTCTTCACCTCCAGTCTGTCTTCACCACCAGTCTTCACCTCCAGTCTTCACCTCCAGTCTTCACCACCAGTCTTCACCTCCAGTCGTCTTCACCTCCAGTCTTCACCTCCAGTCTTCACCTGCAGTCTTCACCACCAGTCGTCTTTTTTTTTTCTTTTTTTACTTTTTATCTTGATAAAGGGTATCACTAAATTGCCCAGGCTGACCTTCAACTTGTAATCCTCCTGCCTCAGCCTCTTCCACAGCTAGGTTTCCCAATGTGTGCCATCAGACCCATCCTGAAACAAATTTATAATAGCTGCTTCAAAGTGCTTATCTGCTTGCAGTAAGCCAATTCTCCAAATCTATCTATCTATCTATCTATCTATCTATCTATCTATCTATCTATCTATCTATCATCTATCAATCATCATCTATCATCTATCTATCATTTGTCTATCATCTCTCTATCATCTATCATCTATCTATCATCTATTTTCTAGCTATATCAATCTATCTATATCCATCTATCATTTATCTACCTATCTATCATCTATATATAATCTATGTATCCTCTATCATCTACCTATCATCTATCAATCTATCATCTATCTATCATTATCTATCTATCTATTTATCTATCTATCTATCTATCATCATCTATCTATTCTTTGAGCTTTATACTTATACCTGTCTCCTGTTGAAGAAATGGCTAATGCAACCCGATTTAAAAGCGTTTATCTGCTTATTACAACATCTGCATTATGGTTTTTACTGACTGCTTTTTTCACTATGGATATACTTTTCCTGTTTCATAACAGGATGAGATATTAGACATTATGAATGGTTATGTTATACTACAGATTCTGTTGTGTTCTCATGAAAAATGATTTTTCTCCTAGCAGGCATTTAGCCTGGCTATACTCCAACTCAGTCTGTCTCCCTGGCAGTGGGCAGAGGCCGTAATCCCCTGTATTAGTTACTTCGCTGTTGCCGTGATAAACCCGATGACCAAGGCAACTTACAGAAGGAAGAGTTTATTTGGCTTATAGTTCCAGAGGGATAAAAGTCCATCACGGTGGCCAGGGAGGCATGGTGGCAGGAGGTGGCCAGAGAAGAAAGCTGAGTACTCACATCTTCAAGTAGACACAGGAAACAGCAAAACTGGAAATCTGACAAAGCTTAAGGACGCTCAAAGCCTTTCCAGTATTGTGCTTCCTCCAGCATGGCCGCACCTACTGAAGGGTCCGTGACCCTCCCCAGATAGCCCTACGAACTGGGGACCAAGTGTCCAAATACTCGGAGCCTGTAGGGAACTGTCTCATTTAACACACCACATCCCTGTTCGGGTCTTTCATCTTCCAGGTCAACAGGCTCTCCACACACTGTAGCATTTTCCCGTCAAAAATGTGAGAGATTTTCCATTTTCCATTTGAGCCCAAGGCTTGTGCAGCTTTTTGCTAGGACTTCCTCCCTGCCACGGGGCTGACCTGCCAGCCCTCAAGCAGAAGCTGCCTGCTATACTTATCTTTCAAGGCATCTCCTCAGATGTAAAAAGAAACAGTTGTAACTTGGCTTTTTAAACAACTGTTGTGAAAGTACCTAAATATAACTAAATCCAGAGAGAAAGATACAGAGATTGCTGGCCATGGTTTTCTGGAGGATGAGGTGAAGTAGCAGTGAGTGTGTGTGTGTGCGTGTATGTGTGTGTGTGTACAAGAGTCACCTTTTTTATTCCATGAGTTTCTGTATTTGGATTTTTACAAGAATACATAGAGACTTTCTTGAAATGGACCGACTTTTAAAAAAACGATCTCTTGATTTTCTGGCATTCCTTAACTCCCTGTTTCAGAACCGCTGTTGAGCTTTAAGGAAGGAAACTCAGAGAAAGCACCAAGAACAGTGCCTGGCACACAGTAGGCCACAGATCACCATGTGCCACCATCGCTATTGTTGCCACCACTGTGTGGAAATAGTACCTCTGTCATCTGGGGCAGCAGCAGAGAATGTGGCCATGAAGCCATTCCCAGCGGTGTTGGCATCTGAAATCATCTGCACCATCATCTTGTTGCTACTGGCCACGAGGGCTCCAGGTCGGAAGGTGCCGCAGAAGCGCCCAATGCGCTGGCCATTGGCGTGGCCGTTGTACACATCCACGAAGTCATAGCGACACAGGTTGTCACTCTCGAGGTCTAAGAATCGGAAATTAAGAACGACTACTTTGCCCTCGGGGACCTGCCGAGAAAAAAGCCAAATGGAAAACCATGTCAAAGAAACCCCTTTGGCCTCTCAGCTAGCTGAGCACTAAAGACAGGACAGGGAGGGGATGAGCCTTGCTGCAGAGTCCCTGCCCAGCACATGTGAAGCCCTGGGTTCAAGTCCCAGCACACACACTCACAGATAAAACAGTAAATGACCCAGAGTGATGCCTTTTCTTCTTAAGTCAGGAGAAGTTGTACAGCGCACTGCATTTTAACAAAAATACAAGTCTATAAGATTACCTTCTTTTGGTAATTTCTACACTTCTGTAAAGCACATGATCTTTCTTTCTTTCTTTTTTTTTTAAAGACAGGGTCTCCCTGTAGCCCCAGCTGTACTGGAGCTCTCCATGTAGACCAGGCTGGCCTTGATCTCACAGAGATCTACCAGCCTTTGCCTCCCGAGTGCTAGGATTAATGGCATGTCCCACCATTCATGGCTACTATCTTATTTCTTAAGACTTTATCCCAACAAAGCTGCAGAATACTGGACCAATCTCACTAACTGATGTCCTTGTTTACAAAGAATACCAATTCTGACTGGTACTATTAATACATATTTACATATTCTAGAATATTGTGGCACCTAGAAATGTTATTTGGCATAGAAAAACTATCATTTTTACACAAATAATCCAAAAGGATAGTCTCCCAATATAGGATGCTTCTGCAAAATTCAAAAGTAAGGGCTTATTTGGTAATTGTATAGTTAATTTTCAAATAGTTCACTTGTGGTCAGAAAAAGTCTAGACCAAAATCTATATTGATGAAATTAATTGCTGATTCATCTCTTTTAAAGTCATTAATCTTAAATTTTTTTTTTTAATTTGTTTTCTCCAGGTAAAAATGAGCATACCAGGGCTGGAGAGATGGCTCAGCGGTTAAGAGCACTGGCTGCTCTTCCAGAGGAACTGGGTTCAGTTCCCAGCACCTACATGGTGGCTAACTGGCTGTAACTCCAGTTCCAGGGGATCAGATGCCCTCTTCTGGCCTCTTCAGGCATTGCATGACGCCGGTGCTCTTACAAGAAAGCAAAACACTCATATACATAAAATAAGACTAAATTCTTAAGAAGTGTGTATAGCAGGCAACCTTGTAATACAATGCACAGTGATTAAAAGGTAATCTTTTCATCTATCACAACATCTTACCATAATTTTTTACCGTAATTTCCCCTTACAATACTTATAACGTTTCCTCCATTGTTCTCTTAATAGGTGGGAGAGGAGTGGCTCCAAAAGCATTTGGTAGGATCTGGTCTTATCAAAGCCTCGTTCCTTTTCACACCATCTTTAATTTCTTCATTCAAGTTCTCAAGTTAAAATCACCTTTGCAGCCAGATAAGTTCCCCTTAAACACTGTAAGAACTCCTGTAAAAACTCACATATGGCATGTACCTACAGCTCAAACTGATTGACTTTAGATCCACCTTAACCATGGACCTCAGATTTAAGGGTCAGAGATTGATTGATGTTAATCCAGTTTCACCACATTAGTGAGTTTGGTGCTACGCTTTGTTTGCTTGTTGCTTTACTGCAGTGAGGTGAAGTGTTTTCAGTGTCATTTACTTCTTGTGTCAAATCCACATACAACCCACAGCAGAATTGTAGAGGAGAATCCCAAGATCCTTGAGATGGGGTTTCATGCAGCCCAGGCTGGCCTCAAACTTGCTAAGTAGCTGAGGATGACTTTGGATTTCTGATCCTCCTGCCTCCACCTCCCAAGTGCAGGGATTACAGGCATGCACCACGAGGTCATGGTTTATTCTGTGCTGAAAACCGAACCCGGGGCCTTGTGCTCGCTAGGCGAGTACTCTACCAACTAAGCGTTCTAATTGTGAACACTTATCTCACTGTGAAAGTTTTGCAGACTCCAGAGACACAGCCCAAGAGGCTGACAGACAAGGCAGTCTAATTTTTAGGCATTCTCACTGAAATTCCCGTTGTAGATTTCTCTGTTTTCTGTTGCTGTTTTGCAGGTAGTATATCCATCATCTCATGATCAGAAAGCTATCAAAAATGTGATGTCACAGCTAAAACTTTTATATAAGCAAGCTCTCTGTGTCACTGAAAAATTGTCTATAAAATTCCAAGTAAATCAATCAATTTTAATCCTTGTATGAATAATGACCATTGTGTGATAAGCAGGAATCCATAGCTGTGTACATAAATGTACAGAGGATGAGCTGGCGAAGTCTTCCACACAGTGCACATAAATTTAAAAAGGAAGAGGTCAGGGGACGAATCCTGGGGCAGTCCAGTGTCATCTGGTCTGGGAGATGAGGCCACGCCACAACAGGGCCAAGGTAATAAGCAGACCACAGGAAGAAAGGGTGTGCTGTCGAGAAGCCGGGTGAAGAGTGTCAGGAGGAAGGGTCAGCCCGGAAGTGCTGCGGCTCAGCGGTGGAGGAGGACCCCACGAACCACTGAGAATGACAGCTGATAAGGACTGGGGTGTTACAGTAGGGACAAAGCCCGAAGAGAAGGAACAGAGAAAACAGGGTGAGAAGAAGGGCGCCCAGACAAGCTTTCTGTTCTCGTTTCTGTTTTTATTTTTTTCTGTAATGATGAACAGCTGGAAGATGAGGTGGAGTCCAACAGGACTTTACATTGTGCTAAGAACATGTAGCATACTACATGCTACATGTACATACTACATGCTGATGGGACTGACCAATCAAAAGAAAAGAACTCCTGGAGGGATGAAGTCTTTGAGTAGGATCTAAGACATAGATGGAAACTGGGCAGTAGCAAGGATGGTCCTGGCTTGGGGAAGCCTGGGAGGAGGGAAGGTGGACACAGGTGGGTTGGGGGTGAGCTGGAGAGAACATTCAGACTTGTTTCTAATTGTCACAGAGGAACAGTGCAAGGCCATCAGCAGTGAGTGCAGCTGGAAGAAGAGCAACTGGGTGTGAGGGGCGTGTGGGGGCTGAACCTCTTCACCACATAGAGATGCTGATTGTTCTTGTGAGCTCCCCTTTTGCTGTCAGCTACGCTTAGCTGTGGGGCAGTGGTGCAGAGCAGGTGGGAAGTTGGGGCAATAGGACCTAAAGGGTTATTTACTGCTACGTGAGGAAAGAAGAATAGACAGGCAAGATGTAGTGAAGAGAGTGGCCAAAATGAAGGGCTGTGAGGTCCAGACTGGGAGAGTCTGTCAGGATGAAACACAGGGCTTTGAGGTTGTGGACCAGTGGAGAATAAAGTCATTGGTGGAGAGGAGGGTTCAAGGCCCAGAGACACTGAAATCACAATAATTATGACAAGGAACATGGCATTTATTGTTGCACCAATATCATAAACACCTGAACAAATAGACTGACTCTTGTTTTTTTAAATATTTTATTTATTATTTTTATTTTTATGTGTATGAGTGTATTGCCTGCATGCAGAAGAGGGCTTCAGATTCCCTTGGAACTGGAATTAAGGATGGTTTGTAGCCGCCATGTGGGTGCTGGGAATCGAACCTGGGTCCTCTGCAAGAGCAGTCAGTGCTCTTAACTGCTGAGCCATCTCTCCAGCCCTGTCTCTTAGGTTTTTAAAGAGTGGGCCTAAACTTGGAGGACACTGGTTCCCTGCGGTCTGTTAGAACCATGTCTCCCAGAACTGTGCCATTGGATCTCTCTTGTCCCCTTAACCTTTGCAGATGTAATGCTGTCTCTCCCACTGTTGTCCCCATCATTCCCCCCGGCCCCCCCTCCCCAGTCAGACCACACCCATAATTTATTAAAAAAGAGTTTCTCCAGTTTCATTGGGGTCATACAAGTTCAAGTGCAGCTCCACTCTTATTCTTAACGGACCATCTGGCCTTTTCATCCCCAGTATCTCCTGCATCCAGCATCTCCTGTCCTTTCCCAATGGCCACAGTATCCAATGAAGATGGGAGGGTGTGCTGCTTGCAGCTCTTTGATATGCTAATTCTCAGGCATACCCAGATTCATTCATTATCCTTTTGGGTGGAGGCCCAAACTGAGGTTGTCAAGGAGACGGCCTGGTCATCACACCCAAGAGCACAGTTTTGTTGGGGTTTAATTAAAAGTCATTAGTCTAGATTACATCCATTAATACAAGTCATTCCCACAGAGGAAGAGGGTTCTCATGTGACTTCAACAAGGAGGGCCATAGGACAGCACAAACTTTCTTCATTGGTAAGTTCTTAGTTTTTGGAGTTGCTTAGAAAATTCCTGTAGTCAAGTGCTGAATTACCCATCTCCAAAAGTTCTTCACCTGCCCCCATGGCAATGAAAAGTTGAGAAAGCGACATATATGTGGCCACATCACTGCGATTTTGAAAGCACTGATCCAAACAACCCTGATGGACCTTCTTTTCAACAAGTACAGAGGTGATCTGTGTGAGTAAAGGTCGATGGTGACAAATGTCATCTTGCACTGAAGGTCAAAGATAAATGTTATTGCAGAAGAACTGCACTCTGCTGTCAGCATCTCCAGGGCAACATTTCTAAGCCACATTATGGTTGTACCTGAATAAATAATCAACCTGAGTCTTGGTGTTAGTTTTAAAAGTCAAGAGTGGACCAAAATTCTGAGTCTGTTCCTTCAGATCTCTCATAGAACTGTGCTCCTGAACCAGGCCTCACCCACAGGCTTATTTAAACAGTATCTCCAGCATCAGTTGCCTGGATCCATCCACCCTTGTCTTATCAGAGGATCTTGCCCTGTGATCCCCCTCCCCCACCCCCCGGCCTAAAATATCTCATGCGCACAATGTCAAGCTACTCCTCAATTATTCTCACTGTCTTCAATGGGTTCTCAAATATGAACATGCTGCTTCCAGTGCTTTAATTTGCTAATTCAAGCAGACCACATTCATTCAGTATCTTGGGTGGAAGGAGTAGTGGAGCTCTGGGGGATTAAGGTCAGGTGTCCAGGTCACACAAGAGCGCATGGCTATATGAGCTTGTTTGCATTGTAAACAGCAGCTTCTGGTGCAAGGTTACATAAAAGCCACCAGTCCTTACGT